CTACTTAGGAACCTCACGCCAACTTTAAATTGGCAGTACGCTAGTGTTCTGCCTCGTGATGTGACTCGATTGATCCTCATATGAATCCATGAGTTTCTCTCCATGGTGTTGTCCTCGCTGTTTGTTGATCCAAGATTTCCTCGATGTTTTTGTTCTTGGGTTCGCCTGGTTCTCTGGTGGTATCTTATATTTCGCCGCCAATGAAAAGCTTCTTTCATAGCTATCTGTAATCTATTTTGCCTCGTTGATTATTTGTTTGGCTCTCCACTATCACCATGTGGTAGTGGTAAACCATTTCATCTAGACAGAAATGTGTGTTTCCAAGAGAGCACTTTTTCCTATTCAAACTGTCTGTGCAAAAAGCAGTTTCGTTTTGAAAAACAATTAAAAATGTTTTCTAAAAACGCGAATAATCTGCATCAATACAATTCGCATTTTGAATAGGACCGAACAAAAATAGTGTAGGAAAGAGGAACTGTTTTCACTGACAACGATTTGTTAATGTAACTGACTCCGGACTACGAATTACACAACCCATTTGATATGCCAAATTAACGATTCGGTTTCTTTCTGTGTATTCATGGTATGTTTTATGAGGTAACTTAAATCGTCATCTTGTACAAAACCAGATGCAGGTACGATTGTAATATCATTCGAGTGATCTTTCTCCTCCTTCCTTCTACAACTTTTGATGTATTGGGTCACAAAAGAAAAATCAATGTCTAAACGCCAGCATTACGTGTAATGGAAGAGCCTGGTTTGACTTGTTCGTTGTCATAGTGCCCGATGAATTAGATCTATCTGATTCCGATGACCTCTTTGAAACAAACTGATCAATAGTGAAAAGAATAATTTAATTGGAATTCGTTTCATTTTCTAACGGAAACGTATTAGTGTATGTGAGCGTGTTGGTATTCGTGTATCAATTAGTTATGCAAAATATTCAGATTGGTGTTTATAATTTATAATTACCATCAGCATCAATAACTACAGCACTTTTGTGCAAAAAAATTAAGAGGCTATCAGTGAAGCGTTAGGTTATTGTGCTAGAAATCGGTACTCAGAAGAAACGCACCTACAGGTTTCATCAGTAAAATCCAATGTACGTACACTCATCTAAAACAATTCCATTACCATCAAAATATCAGAGAACATAAATTACAGATGATGTGGAAACGGGTCTTGTGAATCTGAAGATAATGGACCGGTCTTCAAACAACTGTCTCAAAAGTATCTGTTACAATTAGGTTATTGTAACGAAATTACACCTCGTACCTACAAGTATATGAAAGAAAAGACAAAAGGAAACCGGATACTCATGTCTGACGAGTAGCAGGAATTACGGAACCGGTCGTGTCCTCCCAGGGAAATTTTATACACCCACTCATATACCATTTGTTGTAAAGTATTCTATTAGCACACCTCAGTCGCGTGTGTTGTCGCTAGTTAGTAGCATCTACCCGACCTACAAAACATCCACTCATTGAATAGATTCATCAATGCGCTGGTCATCAAACAGCTGTCCAAAAAAATTTAACCTCTGTTGCAAATGAGGATTTTGTGACAAAACTAAACTTCCTGGCTACAAGTGTGTGAACCAAAATAAAAAAGACTATGGGATACTCATGTCTGACAAGCTGCAAGAACCGCGAAACCGGTCGTGTGCTTCCAAGGGAAATTGGTCCACTCAATCATGTACGGCTTATTATAAAATTTTCCAGAAGGACGCTTAAGTCGTCTCCGTTATCCTCACTTACTAGCATCTAAACCACTGACAAAAGATCCAATCATTGTATGGATTCATCAATGGACCGATTCTGAAACAGCTATCCAAGCAAATTCACTCGCCTTTACAAATGATGTTATTGTGAGGAAAATACACTTCCTGCATATAGGTCTATTAACGGAAAGGTAAGAAAACAGACAGTAGGCTACCGTATACGCATGTCTGAGGGGCGGCAAGAACCATTAAACTGATCGTGTGCTTCCACAGTAATAATTTGGGATCATTCCTAAACCAACTTATGTAGAATATTCCATGAAGTCGATTACTTCCCGCTGAGTCCTGTGTGCTAGTATTTCTGTCAAATTTCCAAAACATATTTTTAATTTGTCACTTATGAAGAATAGCGTTCATCGAGAGATTATAGATACTTATCTTTATACTAGAAGGTAATCAGATTATCACGTAAGATTAATGGAATAATTGATTCAATTTCAAAGGAAGAATTCGTCCATTATATAGCAAATGAAGCGTGAACTGAAAAGCCACGAAGCGCTGTGCACCTATTTCGACCTTTTTGGATCTCAATAGCAGTGCGAATCCGTCGACCCAACTGGGGATCGAACCCGTGACCTCATTGGCAAAACGCAACCATGCTTTCCGCTCGGCCACGGGTAGCTGATCAAACTGTTTGCCATTTTCCGGGTATTCGATACAGCACAACCAAATGGAAAATAAAAACACGGTCTGATCGGCTCTCCGGTTTCATGCTCGCGTTCTGTCTGTGAAGTCCCGGGTCAATGGGTTCGCACTGCTGATGAGACCCAAGTAGGTCAAAACAGCTGTCCAGTGCTTCCTAGCTTTTCCCTTCATGCTTCATTTGCCTTATACACGACGAGTTTCCCCTAGAAATCAGATAAACCCCTTTCTGCAGCGCTTCCCAAATTCCAACGAATCAGATAAAAACAAGGTTGGAAACAAAATGGCATCTGGTAATCAACCATTTAGTTCATGAAAAATGGCTTCTTTTTGAGGATTCAAGTGCAACTTACATTGCAAGCCCTTTTACAATGTGATTTACAAAAGAATTTGTGTGAGTTAAACCTTAAAAGCTGCAGATCCAGTATACCAACCAGTCAGCGCTAATTAATCGGTGTTTAGTTGTGGCAAGCACGAGTTGAATCTGAAAAACTCACACGATCTNTACTGATTATCCGTCCCGAGTATAAGTTTGTCGATCATATAGTGCGGTAGCGGAACATTGTAAACATGTCAAATGACATTATCGAATGGGAATTATGTTACGTAACGAGAAAATCAACACGGTTACTCTGAGAGTCAGTCAAGGTAGTTCAATAGTGAGTGATTAAAACTTGCTACTTCGCATTTATAATCCCCATCCTATTTTCCCTCGGCAAAATGTGCTTTAAGAAAACATTAAATTACTTGACTTCTGCTGAACACCTAGATTTCACTTTTTGCGTTCCGTATATAATGACGCAGTTATCATTTCCCATTGCTCTGGTGTGTGTCTGTCTGTTTGTGTATAAAAGACCTGCCTCAGCACAGACATGTGACATGTGTCTTCCCATGAGAAAATCATGGATTAGTTTCTTCACTACAAAGCTCATGCTCTGTTTCGCTTAATCTGAAATCAGACAGGTGTGAAATACAAATACTTATGCTAATGTGTATGTAAACGTATTTCACAATGGTCTAGATCAGTCAATAGCTTCTCCAGTTGATACGTTTTTTCTCGTAGTTTTCGTTCAATGTTCTCTTGTTAATTGATTTGAAAAGGCCTTTCAAGAGTATTAAAACCAAAATTCGTTGTGTTTAGTTTTCTCTCGTTGTATTTGATCCAAACATTCTTATGTTCATCTAATATTATGAGCAAGATGCACAATTTCCTCTAAGACATCCGTTCCAAATTTGGATCTGATACCGTGTAGTTCACTTTTTTCTGAGTTAACACTGTAAAACGAATCATGATCCATAATTTGTTTTATCACGCAGTTCGGATTAAGACCAGTGCAAAGCACTTGCACAATTCCTGACAAAGATGCAATCTCGGTAAAGAGCATCAAAGACCTAATGGTTTCTGTCATAGAATTTCGTGGTTCAATCACCTAGAATGAATCAAAATGTTTCTAATTTCTGTTTCCAAATGCACGCTTTCAATCAGTTTTCCAGCGGACCCCTTCAAACTGCACAGTACTGCCTGGCAGTTCTTGTGAACTGCGTGGTCTATGTTTTCTGTTTGCTCAAAAAAATAAATTCCTGTTAACATATTCACCCTCTCCCACCCCTAACAAACCCCAGTCCAAAATCGATTGTTCATTTTTAGATTCAATGCACTGTATTGTGTAGACTAGTGTTTACATACACCAATTTTCCTATATATATATA